ATGGGTTATGGTGATTTTTGTCTAACAAATTGGCGTTAATTGCAACGACAATTTATAGGATTTGATCGTGTTAGAACGTTAATTGTATGTTAACACGAATATGCCATATCACACGAGATTATTACACTTTATTTTATAGAAGATTTGTTTGAAACACTTGACACCGTAATATCCCTTTTTCATATACATATTTATAGAAAAGAACATCTAAGATAAAATCTTGATCGACTAATTAGATGTTCTTTTTTTCCTTCCCTCAATCCATTTCAGTTCGTCGAGTTTAACTTGTCAAAGTTCGATCAAAATCTTGAACAAGTATAAGAGGAGTATGAAAAAGAGGTCTATCCGGATCCCCAGGTATGAAACAAAAAGACCGTCTGGTACTACTAATTAATGCCGGTGGATTGGAAAGGATAAGATGAAAAAAGTGTAAGGAAGGCGTCAGTATTATCGGCAAATAATGTTGTGTCCTGGAAGAGAGGGGTTTTGAAAGAAAAAGAAAAAGAAAAAGAAGAAGAACAGGGTGGAGGAGGGGGGCGGGCGGGTGGTCGGTTAGTGCGTGTTCAAAAGCCGCGACTAAAAATACTAATTCTATTTCGAGACCCAGGCGGAAGGTCAAGGCGTGCTAGAAACGGCCAGTAACGCGAGGAGGAAATATGTATATATCTTTGTAAGAACCAACCTATAACCATTGAATTGTTCATAAAGTTCATGAAGATATAAATGATACCTAGAAATACTTATTTGACATAAGTACCAAGAAGAAGAAGAAGAAGAAGAAATCAAAAATAAAAATGTAGAAAGAGTATAATTAAAGATCTTTAAACTGGTTAGAAGTTAGATCTAGCGGAAACATCATTTCCCATGATAACCGAACTAAGAAAAAGATGGGAAAAAAAAAATGATAGCAAAGGATAAGGAATCCCCCTATCTAATATAACGTCGTGTATCCTTCTTTCCTCTATGCGTATGTCTCTTTCCATCTAAAAGATATCTTTAGAAGCTTCTTAAACGACCACTTCCTTAGACTAGTTTGCTTTGAGACTTTGAGAGAGTGTACTACCTCTTACTTACTTGCTTGCTTGCATATCCTTCTTCCCACAGCCTCCTCCTCCTCCTCCTCCTCCTATTCTTATCCTATTCTTCTCCTTACCTATTGAATTATTCGACTTTAAAATACGAATTCTCTATCGAAAGATCAATCCCTTTGGAAAAAGTATTATTAAAACCTTAGAATATTTCTTTTCGACGATATGTGTTCTCTTCTTTCATGTACAACAAAATCTCACGTGTAGGATATATCAGAATACGAGTTTCCAATAGGTAAATATATATCTGTTATATGGCAATCGAATGAATATCGTTATTACCAGCAAGCTGGGTAGCACAAACAGCTACCATCAATTTATACGCACCTGAGATACGAAAGAATATCGGCGGCTGTCTGTCCGTACGTATGTCCGTCCGCCGATCCTGGCAAGCTAACGCAAGCTTCGCTACTTTCTCCGGTGAAATGCCAACGAGTTAGGCACTACGTGAGAGATTAACCGAGCATGTGCACCAAGTTATACTCACTCTCTATCTATCTATCTCTCTTTCTCTCTCTCTCTCTCTCTTTCTCTTTCTCTTTCTTGTTCGTGCTATAGCTAGCTAGCTAGCAAGCTCCTGTTCCTGCCGGTGGTAATCAAACCGAGTTCTCCTCTTCTCCTCTTTTCCCTCTCCCTTTCTCTCTCTCTCTCTCTCTCTCTTTATTTCTCTCATCCTTCTGCGTTAAGTAAACCGTACCGGTTTCCCGTATAACGAGAAACTCTAGCGTAGCCGACTTCATTCGGCGAAACGACATGTCGACAGTGATACATAACCGAACACGAACACCACCACCACCACCACCATCACCAACCACCACCATCATCATCACCATCGCCATCAGCACCTCTACCTCCTTCCTACTAATTTTAGCCGCCCCTTCGTAATTGCTACGTAATAAAGACCCTTTAAGTCGTTCATACGAGTAAATTCTACGATTAAGAACTTATATCTATCTTCTTTTATCTACGATTAAATTTCGTATTTCTAATATAAAATAAAATATATAAAATATAAAATATAATATAAGGATATAAGAGAGGAAAAAAGCCACGGTAAGATCACGCGATTTTCGTAATACAATTGAAAAGATAAGAGGAAAAAATTCTTGGAGGAATAAAATTGTCTTGTTGTCTTAAAGCAAACGAACTATGAAAAGAATAATGAGAGAAATCAATGTTTCTTACATATATAGATATGTAAATACGAGGAAGAAAAAATAAAGAGAAACAGAAAGTTAATGATTGATTCCTTCGAGTTGAGTGAGCAATCTGTTGAACGAAGAAGAAGTCCTATCGAAGAAAAAAAAAAGAAAAGAAAAGAATAAAAAAAGAAAAAAAGAAAAAGAAAGGGATCGAATTCGAAAGGAAAGGTAAAACGATTGTGAAAGGTGCGATCCAAGGGTTTTCCTATAGCATACAAAAGAGAGAAAGAGAGAGAAAGAGAACATGAACAAGGTGAAATCGTCGACGTTCCAACGGCAGCACTAAATCACCGTTAAGTGTCAGCTCGTCCCCAAGGTTAATTGATGAGGGAGGGCTAATTACAGGCGATGCTTGACCGCTCGCACGCGAAATTACGGAGAATTTGTTAAGATGTTTTTACAAAAGGCCCGCATTCCGGTCTCGAGCGTTCTCGCATTAGGCGAGAAGCATCCAGCTGCTTCTGCTTCTGCTGGTTGCTGTTGCTGTTACTGCTGCTTCTGTTGTTGCTTGCTGGCCTGCTTGCCTGCCTGCCTGCCTGTTTGCCTTTACCTTTTGCCTGTGGTTTCTTCCTTTTCTTCCTTCTTTCCTCCTCCTCCTTTTCTTCTTCTTCTTCTTCTTCTCTCATTCACTCAATTCCTTTTCTCTTTTTCCTCATGAGAGGATCCTGAAGGATCCAGCTCGCGAGAGAAACTCCGAACGTCAAACATTTTCTTCTCGCGTTCTTCTCGGAAATCCTTGACCTGAGATTCCTTATAACTTCTTCTTCTTCTTCTTCTTTCTTCTTTATTCTTCCTTCCTCCGTTCTTTTTCTTCATCCTCCTCTTTCTTTACTCACCTCTCTTCTTCAACCATCGGTTGACTGTCCATGCCAAACCGATTGAAACTTTTCTTCTTTTACTAACTCCTAAATTTTCTTTTCTTTCGTTTATTATTTATGCTAAGAAAAGTATCCTCATTAGCTTAAAATCTACATTTTGTATTTTGATCTATAATGAAGTAAAAAAAAAAAGACTAGACATTCTCCTAAGTTGAGTTAATTTAATATGTACGACGATATGATATACTTTAACGAAGCTTTCCTACTTACTACGACTAAGATTCTTTTTCCAACATCGATCTACCTGCTGCTCGTGAAAGTCTCGAGAAACGAGGAAACTTTCTTCTCCAGTCATGAATCGCACCGATTTCAAAAGGAGAAAAGCCAATGCTAGATTAACCAACCAACCAACCAATCAACCAACAAGCCAACCACCTATCGTGCTTCGAAAAACCTCACAAAAATCCTACCAATTTTCGAAAAGCAAATCAGTGATTCAATCTTTATTAGAAAACATAAATAGAAAGAGAAACAGATAGATAGTTAGAGAAAGAGAGAAAGACAGAAAGATAATTAAGATGCTGTGAATCAGACAACTTAACGAAGAGCTTATCGTTTTCCCCCATGGCCCATTAGTCGAAATCTAATATCCCAATTATGAAATTAGCCCCGGTAGAGAACAGGACGGTGGTGTACGATGCAGGGAACGTTATTGCAACTAACCCAAGGACGGAAAGAGAAGAAGAAAGAGGAGAATGAGAAGAAGAAGAAAAAGGTAAAGGAGGAATAAAAACCTCTGGCATTCTGCCACGTCCTTCCAACCGAAAGTCGACAGTACGGGACCTCTTAAACTCGCTTTCGTGCTTGATACTTTATACGTTTTGTCTCGCACGTACTAACATATATATATATATATATATATATATATATATATACATGTATATACATGTATATAGAAAGAAACAGAAAGAGAGAGAGAGAGAGAGAGAGAGATACATTGATACATTCGTACGTACATATCAACCGAAAGTCTCTCTCCTCTTTCGTACATTATTACCAAGGAGTGAGTTCGCGACGAGAGGAATTTATAGAACGCAAGGATTTTCTCCGGCGAATGAACAACCCGACGTGTGTGTATGCGCGTATATGATCAATTCAAACGAAATGTTATATTTTCTATTCATCTTTCCCATATCAGACTTTCTATCCTTCTTCTTCTTTTCATCAATCAAGCAACATTGAAGATATGGAAAAAAGAAAGAAAGAGAAAAGAAAATAGAAAATGGATCAAAATCGGAAAAGAGTTGTAACTCGTAACGCGTGTTACGAGAGACACGGCATAAGAGAAAGAGAAAAAAGAAAGAAAGGGAGAGAGGGGAGGGGGAAAAATAAAAGGATGAAAAACAATAAGAATAAAGGAAGAAAAACGGGGATATTAAAACGCGAGAAGGACTCGCTGAGCTTTCATGGATACCGCAAAGCGTAATGAAAAGGCTCGATGCGACGCACGTTGCGGTTGTCGCGTTCAACGTAAACGTGCTCGACCAAAACGTAGTAGGAACAAGACTACAAGTATTATCTATGTAACCGTATATATATATATATATATATATATATATATATATATATATATATATATGTTGAATGTGTGTATGTACGTACACACACGTGAGAACGTTCGCCGCGATGACGTTAGGGTCAGCTAAAGATCGTAAATCAAGGTCAAGCTGGCTGCTGCAGTGAAGCTTTCAAACGAATACATTTGAAACGTTTTACGCAGTTTTACTTCACCTTGCAGAATATTAGAAAAAAAATTTGATGTTCTCTCGATTTTATATATATATATATATATATAAATTTTTTTTTGTTTGCGTGTCTTTTATTCATTTTACCTCTGAGCAAGTAGGCTGCTAACATCATGTCCTTGAGCTGCGGCAGATAGAGGCCATTGAGTAAACCATGGTTCAAGTAGTTCATGCTCGGATTGGAATTGTAGTTCAAGCCTGGAGCAAGATGATGGTTCAGCTGATGCAGGTTCGTCAGATGACAGGGATGGCTTAGTCCGTGATTCGGGATTTGGCTTTCACCGAGCAGCTCGCAAATCTTACAACGATTCTTCGTCATCTTTCTTTTTCTTTTTCTTTTACTTTTCCTTCTTCTTCTTCTTCGTCTTCTTCTTCTTCTTAGTACTTTGAAACGAGAGACTTCAACTCGGGATCCGCACTTCTCTCGACAACTTTCGTACTTCCTTTCGAATGTATGAACACGTAGTATGTGTAGTAAATATACGGATATATACACTCGAGCTGTTTTCGTGAGGTTTTTTCAATGTCCTTCTCGCAAATGCGTAGTACGTAATAAAATATATATATATATATATATATGTATGTATGTGTATGTGTATGTATATATATATATATATATATATTGAAATTTTCTTAGAGGATCCGTTGGCCGTATTCACTTCTTCTTTTAGTCCTTGTCTAAAAGCAAGAATAAAGAAAGACATTTTTTGGGAACTAGCCCGAAATTGTTTGATATAGTGATATATAGTAGACCGTGAACTGATTAAAAGGAATTTTCGAAGCGTGCCAAACGACAAGCTCGAGGAAGACAAGTCGCTTTCTCTCTCTCTCTCTCCCTTTCCCTTTCCCCTCTCTTTCTATTTCTCTCTGTCTCTCTCGAGTATTAATTACAGCCAACACAGCAACAATTTTCGCGATACCGTGAATAATCTGTCGAGTCTCGTTGATATTCTAGCATATACGTAATATACCTATGTAACTACAACCAATCGCGAACTATGATTTGTGGGAGAGTCGATAGATCGTGATACGATTTTCCAACTCCCTCTACCTCTACCTCTACCTCTACCTCTACCTCCCCTCCCCTCCCCAAACTCCTGTCCCTCCCTACTCCCCTCTCTCTCACTCTCCAACTCTTTCACGCGTTATCGCATTACGACTTATCAGTAAAATACCTGGCGACCTGACCACTCTTTTCCTACTTCATACGCGAACCTCCTCCTCCCTCCCTCCCTCCTCCTCCTCCTCCTCCTCCTCTTCCTCCCTCTCTATATACTATCATTTCTCTTTCGATTCGATAACTCGTTTCGTTTCGTTTCGATTTTAAAACTAGATAATTCGAAAACGCTTAACAATTCTTTTTTCGATACCACAATTTTTTTTTTTTTTTTTTTTTTTTTTTTTTTTTTTTTTTTTTTTGAATAAATTACAATATTTTAATTTATTCAATCTATCTATTTTTATCTCTCTCTCTCTCTCTCTCTCTCTCTCTCTCTCTCTCTTTCTGTTCGTTTTTATTATTAAAGTAGAATTACCTTCGGTACGCGAATGGAACAAAATTTCGTTCGCCACACGTTTCCTATTCATTACAATTATAAAAAAAAAATCATCCCCATCGAGAATCAATGGGAGTGTGACTTTTTCTACGCGATACGCAAACTTCTATACTTTTCGAATTCGTAATAGGTTTTTTACGCAACTTTTCGTTATTATGTCGAACTAGATAATTCAAAAATGTTTGAAAATAAACTTTTCTTATCTAACATCTTTTCGAATTAATTTCAAGTAACATTTTAATTTATTCGATCTCTCTGTCTCTCTTTCTCATTCTCTTTTCTTATTTATTATTAATATTAAATTACCATCGTTACACGATTAAAACAATATTTTCCTTCCACGTATTCATTCTACTCGCAATTATAAAAATCATCCTTCATCGAGAATCAATGTGAGCCCTCCTATTTTTCCCTCTTTCTACACCATAGACAAACTTTTACTATATTATATCGTTACTATTTCGAATGTGTATAACGCATTTCATTTCAATTTCTGACTACCTAATTATTCGAGGAAACGTTTGAAATATATATTTTATTCATAGGCAACATCTTTTTACGGGTTATATAAATATCAAACAAAAATTTGCGTTAATAAAATATGAAATTACCATCAATACAATGGGAACACAATTTTCCATCCAAGTTTCCAACTCGCAATTATAAAAAATCATCCCTATCGAGAATCAACGTGAACCCTTCCTCCCTTCCTCCCTCCCTCCTTCCATCCCTTTCAACCCAATCTTCCTCCATTAAAACTAACGATTCTCTTTCGCTTATTGTTATTTTCTTCCCACTCGTGAAAACTCGACGATTCTTAAGCCACAAGGCTTCCTTTTCCTCCTCCTCCTCCACCACCACCACCTTTTCCTCCTCCACCTCCTCTCCTTTCTTTATTTTCCTTCTGAGAAACAACGCTTCTTCTTATCGAAAATAACTTCTCGCGTTAAGTTGGAATATCGTGTCTGAGAATTCGCTTTAAAAGCCTATCGCTAAACGATTCGGTTGATCGCTTTGCTACGATTTACTATTCGAAAATAAAACGTTACATACGTACGTTACGACGTACATGCATACTTACATGCATACTTACATACATAGATACGTAGTACTTATTTGCTCAAACAGGTGTAACGAAAAAGAAGAAATAAAAAAGGAAAAGAAAGAAAGAGAGAGAGAGAGAGAGATAAACAGAGGTACGGTTGATCGAAAAATATTTGCCTAGCGTATATAACGCGAGACGCGCTTTATCAAAAAAAAAATGAAAAGAAATAAAAGGAAAAAAAAAAACCAGAAAAAAAATACTCATCGTACGTAGAAAATGAATGACGTAGAAGTCGCGAGCCAAAATTCAATTACAAAATAGAGTCACGTTACTTTTATTTTTCTTGACAACGGACTATCTACTACTACCTACTACTATTACTGCTATTACTACACATCACTATGTTCTGATAAAAGCGTACTAACGCGTTATTTGCATAATTAGACGTTTTATCGAGGTAAGACAAAAGGTAAACGTTGAGTTGCTTCGATGTTACTTTACTTATGACTTGTTAGTTAAAATAAAACTAATAATAATAATAATAATAATAATAATAAAAAAGGAAAGAAAACAGATAGACTAACTGGATAAGGGTTTGATATGAAGGATAGGAGGGGGGTGAATCGGTTCTAGTAACTCATGTAACATAAACCTATACTATACAGTAGCTATACACATTCGGAACTTACAAATTAGAGTTTCATTTCTTATCACTGATCGTTCCGCTTGATTTTATATAAACAAAAGCGACTACTACCTACTATTACTATTACTATGACGAGGAGGAGGAGGAGGATGACTACGATGACGACGGATAAAAGAGAAAAAGAAAAAAATGTAGCGGCTAGAAAGTGGGAGCACGTGAAACGGTTAACTCAGCAAGCGAGATAAGCAGCCTCTTATCCACCCTCTTCTCTCTACCTTTTACTTCCCTTTTTTTTTTGCTTCTTCTTCTTCTTTCTTTCTTTCTCTCTCTCTCTCTCACTCAGTCTCTTTTTCTTTCCTCTAACTTTAACGAAGAAAAATCACGCACGAGTTCGAGATGACAAAGTGTTATTATCATTCTGGTTGCTTTTTTTTATCTTTTTTTTTCGTGGAGGGGGAGGTGAACGTTTTTTTTCTTCTTATATCTTATTTCGAACGGTAACGATGAATGCGACTGATATTATAATCCTCGTAAAGAAAATGTAATTTTCTAACGAAATATCTAACGGGACGTTTTATAAATATTGCGAGACAACTGGTTGACAAAATTTTGAGCGTGTAAAAAAAAAAAAGGAAAAAAAGAAAAAGGAATGTCACAGATACGTTATAGTAAATAGCAAAATTCGTACGAAAGGGAACAAGGAAAGAGAACATTAAACCCACCGAGGAGAGAAATTAACTTCATAAACTTTCCACGCTCGGGTTTCTCTCTCTCTCTTTCTTTTTCTCTCTTAATCTCTTCTTCAAAGACAATATTCTTTGTCTCTCTCTCTCTCTTGTAGATCGAAAACATACGAGTTCACGTTCACGGATGAAGAAAAAGAGAAAGAGAATTTTCTTCGTTTGACGCGTTAACCGTAAATGAGTCGTGTTAGTAATAAAAGTTCCTTTTCTCTCTCTCTCTCTCTCTCTCTCTCTCTCTCTCTCTCTCTTTCTCTTTCTCTTTCTCTTTCTCTTTCTCTTTCTCTTTCTCTTTCTCTCGATCGATGTGCCCACACTAGCTCGTGAGAAAATAATTTTCTTGTTTCTCGAACAATGCGACTATCGAAAGTTAATAAAAGAGAGAGTGAATGATAAAAAGAGGGATATATATAAAGAAAGATAGCATATATATAGAATTGCCTCGCAAACGTTGTTAGATCAATTAACGTAAAACGAACGAAGGAACGAACGAACGAACGAACGAACGAATAAAGCTTTGACTGAATTATCGAATAGTCTACTCGCACAAGAGTCAATTGATAAACATAGCTAATAAGTAACAGCAACTCGTTTGAGAACGTTGTTTTATTCATTCGATTCAATAATTCCGAATAAAATTTCTAAATTTCTACCTTCGAATTTTCCCACATGTTCGAAAGAAAATTGATCATCATCATCATCGCATGAAAAATAAGTTAACCAAATGGAATGTAATAAATTTGAAATAATATATAGATCATGTGTCGATTATTTTTCGTAAATGTCAGCATTCCTTTGACGATATCATCATCATCATTACGTTCATTCTGGTCCTTCAATTTTATTATCCGAGAAATAAAAAGAGAAAGAAAGAAAGAAAGAATCGAATACACTCGTAGCAGAAGCAGCATTTCCTCTTTGGGTTCGTGGCATTTTGCCACCCTATGTCACCCCCTCGTTTATACAGACGGCAGTACGGAAACTTTTTATCGTAGAAGGAACCGATAAGCATGTTGGAGCCATACCGTGAGTCATACTTCCGGTCTGGACTGGACTGAACTTGGTGGTGCACTTCGTCGTACTACGCGTTCTTCCAAATGTTATTCTCCTTCTTATAATTTATCCTTAAGATCAACGAATAAGATCAACAAAGATCGACACACCGATCGATAAGTTTTCTTTTCTTGTTAGTATTTTCTCTATTTTATCGGACAGAAAACTTGTATTTTTATTTTTATCCTATTATAATTACTAGTTTTGTTTTCTTCTTCTTCTTCTTCTTCTTATTATTATTATTATTATTTTAAAAAACATTGGTTACAAGATATTAAATTGAGTTGATCCGTTAAGGTCTGTCTCTCTTTTTTAAATCGAAAATTTCGAAACATTTGGCCGTTCGCGCAAGCTTCCATAAACGTTTGGACATAGGGGAAACGCGTGAACGAGAAGCTTAACGACCAACATGTCGTAACTTATATAACTTATGTAAAACGGATCAGACACAGGCGCCTTTTGAAGAAACGTCGTCAACAAGTTACATCATTATATCGACACCAGGATGGTCGTAGTTAATCGGCCGTTCGTCCGATTCGTGCGCGTACATACAATTACGCGTTACATGTTATATGTATTTATGTGACTATTACTTATCTTTCTTTTTTTCTTTCTCTTTCATTCGTTCTCATTGGAATCAAACTTTTGAGACTATATGTGCTCACG